GTAATTGGAAAATGGAACTCTTGTTCATTGTTTGGTAGTCCAAATTCTGATAAGATAGCCAGTGCTCTTTGTGAAGGATTTTTATGAAAGAAAAAAAGGGTAAATAAATACTGACTTTTTTTCTCTTGTTTTATATAGTATTCATCGATACAGTCTTACTGTGTTTGCCAAATAGAAGGCCAGTCTAATACTTCTTGCAGATGTTGAGAAACACTTCATGAAAATTTAGAAAGGTAAACTTGCCTATCAATATAGGGAAAATATTGTGACTTAAGAAATCCTATTCAAAGAAGATGAACTCTTGAACATTGGTTTGGGAGTGAATCCAAATTTTCAGTTGTCAGCCGTAGAACTAGCGAAAAAGGAAAACAGATCATTTAAGAATTATCTGGAACGGATGTATATATCATAACTTCTTGTCTTTTTTTTTTCCTGTGGCTGAGACATCCAATGAGCATGTACATGTATGATAACAGCACATAAGGGACTAAGTTCCACTAGAATTATTCATTCTATGAGCATAAATTACAATTTTCCCATGAATATATTATGTCCTCTCTTTCATCACTTCCTCTTAAGTTTGAAGTATAGCACTCCTTGGGGTGCTTAGTGGCATAGCTCCTTCTCTCTTGAGTCTCTTACAGACACGTATAAGTAACCTTCGACTTACAATTTTGTTTCTGTTGCTTTTAATATAATGCAGTAATTTCTTTTACACTTTTCGCTTTCTTCAATATGCTCTGAATGATATACACTTCCTTGCCTCGTGCTGACTATCTTCACTGACTTGCTTTCTTAAATAGGTAGGTAGTGCAGCTGCTTATTTACAGACAGGAATGTTTTCAGCTTGGCATTATGCTGTTCTTTTGGCTTCCTCGGTTCTTATCATCACATGGCTCAACCTAAGGTATACATAGTAAATATTTCCCAGAGTAAGTTTGAGCATAACTTGAATCTAAGCAAGCTTGACCATCGATCTGAAATTGACAAAATAAATTTCATGAGTTAGTTTTTTTGTGATGGACCAAATTTTCGTACATCAACCACACAAGCATACTATGTTTTGGAGATGCATACTTACATGGCAGGTTAATGTAGTGGAAAGGCCTTACAGAGTCCATTTCACAAAATGCATATGCTCATATAAGCTTTCTTGAGACATTGTAGATATCATATCCTTAGCATGATAACTTGCCACCCTACGGCCTAGATGGGTAGATATCGTATCCTTAGCATGAAAAGTGTGTTGGCCTAAAAAATGAAGATCAGTAACTAGACGCTCAGGTTATGAGTTTCTCCATATGATTTTGTTACACTCTAAGATGTCCACCATTGGCAGACTGCTCATTATCTTGATATCATAAATGTGTTTACTCCTTTCTTCTGGACTCTTAAAATTCTCGTATTCGTCAACTTGCAGCAACGATGTTTACGATTTCGATACAGGAGCTGATAAAGATAAGAAAGAATCAGTTGTAAATCTGGTGGGCAGGTAAATTTTATTTTTCTGCCTTCTATATTAGTGAATTTAGTTTGTCTTTTTTTCCCCCCAATCTTGTGTTGTCACGTCCAATATTAATTGCCTATTTTGTTTGGTAATGTGCTCCGTAAGCCGTACAGGCACTCTTGTTGCTGCCTACTTGTTACTTGCTCTTGGCTTTTTGGGGCTTGCTTGGGTATCTTTTGAGGCAGGAAATATGCGTGCAATATTATTACTCGCTTGTGCAATCATGTGTGGTTATATATATCAGGTATGTAGATTGATGCCTAAGAGATGAATTAAATTAATCTGAAAAAAAAAATTATGTATCTTTGATGATCTACTTTAGCAGACAAAATATTCAAGTCAATCTTGGATAGTGATGCAACACTCACAGCAGCATAATACATAGGAGTAATCTTTGGCTGTATGTGGAGTCTTACTATTCTTGGTATTTCCCCAATTTTTTCTTGCTTTGTAGTTATTTAAGATCTGGAGTTGTTAGGGTTTGTTCTATTATGAAAAAATTATGTTGTCGTTTGGAGGCAATCTTTCGGAAATTAACAATTTAAAGGGGAGAGTTCTCTTCAGGCCAAAAAATGGCAGAGAGAGTTCTCTTATATTGCTCTTGCAATTTGAGATCCTCATTTTGGTAGCTATGGAAACAACAAAAGCTTAGATGATACCAAAAGGATCTGATTAAGGACTGATCACTTTTTACCTTAACCGATCGGGGGCTCCAACGCTTGACAATGTGGCTAGAAAAGCACCCTCCTTATAAAACTGATCATAGGGGGATCATGCGAGCATGCACTCACGCACACGCATAAGAAAAAAAAGGAAAGGAAAAAGATCGACCCCTCGAGTCATAGTTGAATTAATTGCTGTGTTGATGAGGCTATGCATTGTTTCTGTGTCAAATTAAGTTCTGTGATTAATAGCAACTTAACCATAGAAGCTAATTTATTTAGTGCATTATTGATAGCAGGCTGAATTTCTGAGCATGTTTGGTAATGTTAAAGAAATGCATGTTATATTTGTGTGATTAAACACAAAAAATGTAGTCAAAATATAAAGTGATCTACATTTTTTTTCTCATGCTGAATGCTTGTTGAATGTTTATGCAACCAAGTGTCGGCAATGTGACCAATTTCAACATTGGTACCAGTACCACTTCCAAGTTATTATCTTATTGATGTCGAACGTTTTCTCTTTTTTTGTTCTTTACATCTTGTTCTAATGCTGAGTTGCAGTGTCCACCATTTCGGTTAAGTTACCAAGGATTGGGAGAGCCGTTGTGCTTTGCAGCATTTGGTCCATTCGCTACTACAGCTTTTTATTTATTGCAGGGAAGCACAAGGTTAAATAACTTGACCAAATTGCCGTGGTTTTGAATTTAAGTTTTGCGAGTTAGATAATTAATATTGGTTGTCTTGGCAGGGAAATGATCCATCTTCCCTTTACTGGTTCAATTCTTTCTGCATCAGTCCTTATTGGCATAACAACAGCCTTAATCCTGTTCTGTAGTCACTTTCATCAGGTAGTTTTCATTTTCCTATTTCGAGAAATCTTTGGGCTCTCCAGGCTTACTGTATTTCAGATACATAGCTGACATGAACGTCATGCCACTCAGATTGAAGGAGACAGGGCTGTAGGAAAAATGTCCCCTCTGGTACATACACTTAACTGAGCCCTCATATGTTTAAACCTTAATGAGATCATGTACCGTCGGTCTGATTGTTTTATTTGTATTTGCATTGGTATACAGGTTAGGCTTGGCACGAAAAGAGGATTAGTGGTAGTGAAGTTGGCAATTATAGGACTCTATGTTCTCACTTTCACCTTTGGTCTAAGCAGCGCTCTCCCTTTTACTTGTATTGTAAGTTATATGTAACTATTAAATTATATGCTTATTGGTGGGGACTGAAATTGAGATTTCTTACTGTCATTTCTGCCTAGTAGTTGTTTCTATTCTATATATCCGTCTGAGTTTGAGGATGGCTTCTTTCAGTTTCTATGTGCCCTGACCTTGCCAATTGCAAGACTGGTGGTCAGCTATGTTGAAGAAAACCACAATGTAAGTACTAAACTTGTGTAGAACAATGGCAAAAAGAAAATTTGTCGGACATATGCGTAGAATTTAAATTGCTCTTCATTCTGTTCTCACTGGTATATGATTCCTACTGCATGCAAAGGTGCATGAAGGTGCAGTTACTGAAAAATAGGGTACAGTGTCATTCGTGTCACTTCACTCTCTTGTCTCCGAAACGACAGGAATGACACAATATGTTTGTTTTGCACCATGATTAGTAGGAAACTGGACCTGTTTGAACAGTGCACCGACGAGCTTGGAGCTGGCGAAAATATGACCTTAAATCTGAAATTAAGGAATACATACATCTTACAACTTCCCCTTAAACTGATTTCACATTTGCTTACATGAATTTCCCTTTTCTTGCAGGACAAACATAAAATATTCATGGCAAAGTATTACTGTGTGAGGTTGCATTCTTTATTTGGAGCTGCATTGGCTGCTGGACTCGTGTTACCGAGAATGGTCCCTAAAATAAATATCGCAAGGTTGGGATTCTCATAGAGTGTTTCAATTTCTCTGAATGTGTAGACGTAGGGACGATATGCCAAGTTTTTTGGCTTCAGAGACAGAGTTATGGCTCTAGGCAATATGCCTGTATTGTATGCACATCTTTTTTTTTCAAGTTTCCCATGCTATAGAAGAAACTGTGGCAATGGCAGCAGCAAACACTGAAAACACACTGGATAAAATTATGCACCTTGGTTCCATATTAAAATATTTCCCTCCTGAAATGTCAAGTTTAACGCCAAGAAAAATAGCTTTTAAAAGAACACTTTTAAGACTAATGGATTTAGCAAAGGACCCACTAGTGTAGTGATTTGGAGTAATTGCTCATTCAAGCAAGGTTCTGGGTTCGAGTCTTAGTATCCGTGTTGTGTATGTGAGTTTAGTGTATAATCGCCCCTCTCAATAGAAAATGTCCTAAAATAAAATAAAATAAAAGACTAATGGATTTGAAAAGGCAATTACATGACTAAAGCAATTTTCTTCTTCTTTTCTAGCCACAAATTAAAGCAATTAAATTAGCCCTTTGAGATCGAAGTTTACTGAGAGACGTTGTGTCTAAATATTTGTTTCTAAGAGATGCTGTCGTTATTCCCCTTCTCTCTCAAGGGTCAAATTGCTTGGTGATCAAGTCATGTCTTTGCATATACGCCTTTTGTTTTGTCTGCATCATTATTGACCATATCAACTGTCACATCACATGGTCAGTTTTGTTCGTTCAATTCAAATAAAATTAAATATTTTTTAAATAACACATATAATTGGCAGCAAATAATATACAAATTAAATATGTTACACGTGACATGCTAGGTTCCTTTTACTACATGGTTTAGGATTAGGGTTATTTCTAGGGAAACTAGGGCTGAGATGCTTTATTTGATAGTTTCCTACGCGGTTTAGGATTGTTGGGGGATTGCATATAAATAAAGTGTCAAAGCCTGCAAATACGTACCAGTACTAATTGTTGGTGTGTTTTGAACAGAGAAGAGAGAAGATTGAGTTTTTGAGTGTGAGGAAATTAAGGAGCACTGCATATGGCGGAGGCAAAATCATCAACCTTGGATTCAGAATGGCCCCCAAGCCACGTTCTACATTTGATACTAGAAAAGTTGATATCAACCTCCGACAATATCCGGTTTGGCACAGTTTGCAAGCATTGGCGATCCGTAGCTTTGGATCAGAAGCCGCGGCCCCTCAAATCTATATATACTGATTATCACCGACGACCAAGACAACCGCGACGCCACCAGCGGAACAAGCAATAAGGTTTCTATAGATTGAGGAGGAGTCAGAATTTAGAGTCCCGTTGAAGTTGTTTACTAAACTATATGTAATCAGGGTAGGAATGGTATTGATTCCCTATAAGTTTATTAAATTCCGTGAATTGGAATTGAAACCAATTTTATTATTAAAATGCCCTTGTTCTAGATAAATTATTTTATAGCAAATTTTTGTTGGGTTTTATTGGATGGAAAATTTGGAATTTTAAAAATTGTGTGGGATATACTGAGTAAAAAAGATGAATTCCTGATGAGTTCATTCTCCAAGAATTATAATACTACCTCCCACCAAGAGTCTCATTCCTCCAAAATCAGGTGTGGGCCTGCTTGTATTTTCATTCCTTCATGTGGAGAAAAACATAGTTGCGACGGGTCCCTTATTTTGTTATCACCGGCCAATAATGTTATGTCACGTAGAAGTGTTATCATTAGTGTGTAGCGTTATTGGTTGGGATGGCAAAATAAAATAGTGATATCCTCATTTCATGGAAGTCTTTCTCCTTCATGCAAAGTAAATCATGACCACTATTTTTTTTTTTAGAAAGATAATTCATTCATAGAACCAAAGACGTACAAAGAACGACATGATACAGTGGCCTCGTTAAAACCTTCCTAGGACAACCTGATAAGTGTATTATTTCCTATATTTTTATACCTCTTTTATTTGGTTTTTGTAGGGAAAGTTAATTAAAAAGAGCATTATTACCTTACTTTCCTTATTTTCAGCTATTCTGCGCTCTTGGAAGGATTTCGACTAAAAATCGACTTTTCGAATGAATTTTAGTGCAAGGCCAATTGGAGAAGAAAGCTAAGACATTGAAGATCATTGTATCAAATTTTCATAATGTTCTACTAAGCCAAATGCTCCAGACTTGCAAGTCAAAACAGCCTAAGTTGAAATCCCGTCAGAACTGCACTGCTGTGGAAGATTGAAGATTTGAAGACCTTTCCGATTTTTCCTAGTGGCGTGTAATATATGCTTGGAAAGCTTAGAGATAAAGCTACATTTCTCATATTTTTCCAGAATTTTCTAGGAAGTTGAACGACCCCAAAACGTGCGTGCAAGTTGGCTGACGTGTTTCCAAGTCAAAAAAGGATTCTTTCCTAATTTGTTTCCTTAATTGTTTGGGATTTTGTTTTGCTTTAGGAGAGTTTTTCCAGACCTTTTAAGAGTAGGGTTTAGTTGTTTTCTTTTGTCATGAACTAATTTTCCTTGCTAGGGCTACGATGTAGCCTAACCATGAATACTTAATTTTTATAGTTATATTAATTTCTTATTACTATTCCGTGTTGAGTATTTGTTACTGTTCTTAATGCTTTGAATATCTGGTCAGTATTTAATTGATTTGATTATCCAAGCGGAGACCGAGAGGAGATGTTTGGTGTTTGCTTCTCGTAACAAATACCATGTCTTGAATGAGTGCCCGAGAGGGACTAACAT